CCCAGCAGAGGCGGCAGAAGGGGTGCTCTGGGGAGGGGCCGCCCAAGAAGGACCTCATGGCCTTCAGCCCCAGCCTCCCTCAGGGTCCCAGCTCTGCAGACAATGTGAGTCTAAATAATTTTTATTTTCAGCTTCTTAAAAACGCAGTCTTTTAGGTTTTCTGCTCACATATTTTTTATATAACTTATTATATATTTAGTTGATAGATTTATATGTAATTTTGTTTTTAATATTATTGCACTTTTTGCACTCTTTATGTTGAATTATATTTACTGATATGTTAAATATGCAGTTTTGTTTTCAGAGTGTCCAATATTGTAGGTTATAATTGGCGATTTATATTAGTTATTTTTTTATTTTTGTGGGAAATTTTTACTAATTGGAATAATGAGTTTACTTTCTATTATATAGTGGAAGTCCCTAACTGAATGTTTACATGCCCCACTTTGCTATGAAGTCTTTATAATTGTGTGTTTTTTTAAAAATTTGACATATTCTATTCTTTTTATTTATAAAAACTTACATATTTCAATATCACCTGTTCAATATTGCCTTTTTATGCTTAGTCTAGAACTTGAGTTATCTTAACTTTTTCTTATTACTCCAATTTATTTCTCCTTTTCAATCTTCTTTTTCTAGTTACTGAATTCTTTTTAACTTACTCAGTAGTAGTTTTTTTTTGCTTGCCCATGATGAATATTGTAACTTAAAAATATAGCTTAAATGATATTTTAGTAGTATATTTATTTTGTTCTTTCTTTGTATAACCAACATACCCACATTCAAAATGTCAAGTAGTATATAATGACAAGTCTGTCACTTTCAAACCTAAACAATTACTTTAACTCTTCAAATTTCTGAAACATTTTAAATTTCTTTAGTTTTCTCTAAGATTTTATAGGTATATATACAATCTGCCTTTCTTCTTTTTTTTTAAAGCAAGTGCTTACATTTAACCTACTCTTAGTTTTTCTACTATATCTTGGTATTTATGCCATATTATTTCATAAAAAGCTTTCTGGTTGTTTGGTTGTTTTCTCTCTTTTAAATACCCGCATCTTATTTTATTTTATGACTATATAGTGATTTATCCATCCATTTCTATGTTTGTACATTAGTGGACCAATACCTTACTTAAACAAACTCAACCACAAGTATTGTCCACTTTTACAGTTGGTAAAATCTTAGTATACCTTAGGAAGTTATTTTAGGATGTCTGTTTATTGTTTTCAGTGTTCTTTTACATAAAGGTAGAGATGCCCATATCCAATGGAATTATTTACTATTGAGCAGTAATTTGCATCCACACAATCAGAACAAATTTGCTCCTCTTGTTGAAAGAATAGTCAAATTTGTAGAATAACCTATAAATATTCTAACTTTTGATAATGATGGTAATTGTAATTCTATTTGTATTGCTTTATTTTTCTTTTGTTTTCACATACATATACTTTAAAAACCATTTCCCAAGCACACTTGAAGAAAAATTTAAAATTCTACTTTTGGGGTGGGGGAATGACTAGAAGTTGATATGAAATCCTCCTCCATACTCCAATCTTAATCCACCAATTATCACTTTTTCATTACAGTAGGGTTTGTTTGTTGTTGTTTTTTTTGAAATTCAAACTGACATATCAAGGCTATGGAAAATTTCCTTTGTTGGTAAAAAGTTCTCACAGAGATATTGAAGAATGCAGTTATCTTTACACAATCTTTCTCGCGATTTAGAATGAACTATATAGTAGTTTACATGAAGATAATGTAAGTCGTTTCACAGAAAATGCTCTTATTCCCCTTTTCCATAGTACTTGCACTTATATAAGGATTTAAAATAAGTTTATTCTGTGCCTGAAAATATCATTGTGATTACATGTTAATCTCATTCTCCTACATCTGGATTAATAGGTACTTAAGAAAAGCCATATGTGATGCTTTAGTTAAGTTTTAAAATTTAGAAATCTTCAGTTAGGGCCAAATGAATGAAATATTCTTACCTCCCAAGAAAACCTTCAAGTAAAGACTGCTGACAAATATATATTTTATGAAGTCTTTTCTGATAGGAAGAAAAGGGTTTTCTTGTTGCTCCAAAATAACTAGAATAAAAGGTCAGTGATAAGTGCCTCTACAGAGGTTCCAATTAAATATATTAAGACAGATCCCATTAAATAAAGGTGTTTTTTAAAATCACAGCCACCATTGGGAATTGCTAATATATGAATTCGAAGGAGAGCTTAATCACCCACTACTGAGCCATTTAAGATGAAAAAGTAAAGTGCAACTTTTGAGGTGTATATATCAATATTTAAAATACTGGGAAGAAATCTATTTATGAAGAAAGAGATCCCCAGCTGGAACAAAATTAACGTAAGAAGCCAGGCGGTATAAATACTTCTACGACTGATAAAGGTGAAGACACACCATTAAGTAGAATCTGAGAAAAGAAAATATTCATTGGATTAAAAAGAACCCCATTTTAGCGAGGTAAGTGAATTCAATAATTATTACCCTTTAGAGCCGCTTGATGTCGCTGTCCACAAAGAAGTTCTGTCCGCCAAGCTCCAGCCTTCCTCTAGCAGTCCTGGATCCGTCTCCAAATGCTGAACAATGGCGGAGGCCGCGGAATTGTATTGAAGACTCCAGGAAACGCACCAGTACGCCTTTGTATCAAACAAGCTCTTTGATAGCAATAAAACGAGTACTTGACATGGTGTTTCCTGGGCGAGGAGGCCCGGAAGCCCGGCGTCTGCTGCTGTCGCTTTTGCTCCTCTCAATCTGGGAGGCGGGGAGCGGCCAGGTCCACTACGCGGTCCCGGAGGAGGCGAGACCGGGAGCCGCCAGGTCCACTACGCGGTCCCCGAGGAGGCCACGCACGGCACCTTCGTGGGCCGCATCGCGCAGGACCTGGCGCTGGAGCTGGCGGAGCTGGTGCCGCGCCTGTTCCGGGTGGCGTCCAAGGGCCGCGGGGACCTCCTGGAGGTAAATCTGCAGAATGGCATTTTGTTTGTGAATTCTCGGATCGACCGCGAGGAGCTGTGCGGGCGGAGCGCGGAGTGCAGCATCCACCTGGAGGTGGTGGTGGAGCGGCCGCTGCAGGTGTTCCACGTGGAGGTGGAGGTGAAGGACATCAACGACAACCCGCCGGTGTTCCCGGTGAAGGAGCAGAAGCTGCACGTTTCAGAATCCAGGCTGCCAGACTCTCGGTTTCCGCTAGAGGGCGCTTGGGATGCGGATATGGGCGCGAACTCCATTTTAACCTATAGGCTTAGCTACAGCGATTACTTCTCGCTAGATGTGAATTCAAAAAGTGAGGAGAATAAGCAACTTGAGCTCGTGTTAAGGAAGTCTGTGGACCGAGAGGAAACTCCGACACACAACTTATTACTGACGGCCACCGACGGAGGCAAACCCGAGCTCACCGGCAGCGTCCAGGTGCTGGTCACTGTGATGGACGTGAATGACAATGCTCCCCGCTTCCAACAGTCTGAATATGAAGTGAGAATATTCGAAAACTCAGACAACGGAACAACAGTTATCAGACTGAATGCTTCTGATCCCGACGAAGGAACTAATCAGGAGATTTCTTACTCTTTTAATAGCTTTGTTCCACCCATGGTTATGGACCAGTTTAGCATAGATTCTAATAGTGGAGAAATAAAAATTCGAAATAATTTGGATTTTGAACAAGTGAAATCCTATAAAATCCGCATTGACGCCACGGACAGAGGCCACCCACCGATGGCGGGTCATTGTACAGTTTTGGTAAAAGTCTTAGATATTAATGATAACGCCCCTCAGATTTCCTTGACTTCAATGTCCCTTCCTGTCCCAGAAGATGCGCCACTGGGTACCGTGATTGCCTTAATCAGTGTGTCCGACTTGGATTCCGGTGTCAACGGGCATGTAACCTGCACCTTGTCACCCCATGCCCCCTTCAAGCTGGTGTCCACCTTCAAGAATTACTATTCGCTGGTGCTGGACAGCGCCCTGGACCGCGAGAGTGTGGCGAACTACATTGTAGTAGTGACTGCGCGGGACGGGGGCTCGCCTTCTCTGTCGGCCACAGCCAGCGTGTCCGTGGAGGTGGCCGACGTGAACGACAACGCGCCGCTGTTCGCGCAGCCCGAGCACACGGTGTTCGTGAAGGAGAACAACCCGCCCGGCGGCCACATCTTCACGGTGTCGGCGCGGGACGCGGACGCGCAGGAGAACGCGCGGGTGTCCTACTCGCTGGTGGAGCGGCGGGTGGGCGAGCGCGCGCTGTCGAGCTACGTGTCGGTGCACGCGGAGAGCGGCCAGGTGTCCGCGCTGCAGCCGCTGGACCGCGAGGAGCTGGAGCTGCTGCAGTTCCAGGTGAGCGCGCGCGACGCGGGCGAGCCTCCTCTGGGCAGCACCGTGACGCTGCAGGTGTTCGTGCTGGACGAGAACGACCACGCGCCCGCGCTGCTGCCTCCGGCCCCGGGCGGCCCGGGCGGTGGCCACCCCCACTGTGCTGCTGTCGCTGGTGGACAGCGGCCAGGCGCCTAAGGCCTCTTCGCGAGCTTCTTTGGGTGCCCAGGGCTCAGGGACGGCGCTGGTGGACGTGAACGTGTACCTGATCATCGCCATCTGCGCGGTGTCCAGCCTGCTGGTGCTCTCGCTGCTGCTGTACACGGCTCTGCGGTGCTCGGCGCCGCCCACGGAGGGCGCGTGCGGGCCGGGGAAGCCCGTGCTGGTGTGCTCCAGCGCCGTGGGGAGCTGGTCGTACTCCCAGCAGAGGCGGCAGAGGGTGTGCTCTGGGGAGGGGCCGCCCAAGACGGACCTCATGGCCTTCAGCCCCAGCCTTCCTCCGGGTCCTCCTGGATCTGTAGTTGCAGTGGGAGATCCAGAAGCTTCTTTTGACTCCACTGGGAAGGTAGGTTGCTCTTATATTTTATGTATTAATATATTTATTAATTTAGTCTAGAAAATATTCTTATTACTTATAGAGTACATTTAAATAGTTTTTATTCATTTATTTTTAGGTATCTGGTCTAATTTAAACATTTATTACCAGAAAGTGAATACCTTAAATTTATAGGTATTTTTGTGTTTGTTTCCACTTCCAATTGAGAATCATTATAAACCATATGTTGAACAATTATTCATTAGGTACTGAATTACTTAAAAAAGATCCTCATCCAAGGATATCTTTTTTTAAAAAATTGATTTTAGAGAGAGGAAAGGAGAAATATATAGAGAAACATCCATGAGTGAGAGAAACATGGATCTGTTGCCTTCCCTTTGCTACCCTGTGGGGGTTTGGACCTAGGGGCACCCTTCACCCCCCAGGATCTAGCCAGCCTCAGTGGAACCAGCCATGTACTGGGCCATCCTCCAACCAACTGAGCCAGACCAGCCAGGGATGAGTTACTTCTGTTTAATACCTGTTCTGGGCGTCACATTGAATTACTAAAGTTGTGATGTCATTGTACCTGGACATATTTGGTGAAAATCAATTTAGTTTTTACATGTTAAGTAAACTTCAACACCACTCTATCATCATTTATTCATTTCTAAGGTATGGATAATATCTCATTGAATAGCTTTGCTAATAAGAAACCTCATAGCAGAAATATGTAGTAACTGTTACTAGTCAACTTTGTAGTTTTCTACCTTTTTGTGGGTGGAGAACTTCGAGAGACATGGTTGGTCAGCACTACATACTAGGTTACAATGAGTAACCTCCAGTGTATGCCTGAAAACAGATGTTTTAACTTAAGGGATCTAATTTTAAAAACAAAAGTTACAAATATAATTCTTATTAAAAATGTGTAAAATTTGTTTCTATATGTCTGACAGTGTAGGCCATAAGAAAATGCTGATTGAGAGTTTTCTCTACACTTAGAATATTTATTGAAATTCATATTTTATCTGATATTGGAGAAAATACATCCCAATTGATATTTTCTTTCTTCAAAAATCTTTCTCTTATCTGTCAAAAACTTCTGGTAATGATATAAAGTTTGGACATTAAAGATCTACCTATATTCTACACTTTGAGTTCTCTTAAAATTCATAGTTTGGAACTTAATTACCTCTACTAGTTTATATGAGTATTTACTTTTTCTTCAATATTCCAAAAGACAGAAATCTGGATATTAGGTGGTACAGCTGTAAAGTCACTACATGGCAAACTTATATTTCCTGAATTGCGGTTTGTGCCTTTCAAGTTGGTGGTTCTTCACACGCTATTGTTAGTTCAAGCATTTGTTTTCTAATTAATATTTTAAAAGCTTCCTTTGTACGTATGTGGAGTTTTTGTGATGCGATTATATTTCTATTCTATATTTTTATTGTGTTAGGTATCTTAGACAATGTTCCTTAATTAAAAACTCAGTGGAACAAGATCGGAGTGGTGTTGAGAATAGAGCCACAGTAGTATAACCATGAAAATGCAAGTAACTTAGTTTTTCCAAATACATATTTCAATAATTTTAAAAATGTCATTCTATAGAACACATGTTTGGTACATCCTACAAAACAATCTTTTATTTTATTTCCTTTAAAACTTGAAGAGCTCTGAACTTCCATGGTAAAACCTGTCTGTCAGCACAATTCACCTTAAATCTAGACTTTTTTTTTTCAGGTTCCATATGTCACTTGAGCTTGGGCTGAGTTATTTGAATATGTTATATTGATTAAGGAGCACTAAAAAGTCATCCCCTGCCCTAACTGGTTTGGCTCAGTGGCTAGACAAAACTATTAGATAATTCCAAAAATATATATTTGGGGTATTTGAAAAGCTTAAACATAACAATGATGAAAGTAGTTGTCTATAAAAGTGAAAAATCATACATTTTTGAGTTATTTTATTTATAATCATAATTAAGATTCTTTGTGCCCATGTAAGATGTACATAAAAAAGTGAAACTTCATTCTGTATGACTGATTTCTCAATAAAAGCCTTTTATGTTTTCCTAAAAACAGGAGCCTCTACTCAGCCTGAGCAGTAGCATTAGTGAAGGCGCTGCAGAGTGACAATATTATATTGGTAATAATTTTCCCCAAGGAACCAATCTGTGTCTCCAGCATTATGAAAATAAATGCGGCTAAACTGAGGCCTGAGACTAATAGCCATTTATGAAGCACTCACTTTCCTTAAGGTCCTCTCCTAGGCACTTAATTTACACAACCACCATATTATTATACAAATGTTATAAAAGTAGTTGTGTAAATTATTTCCCCCAAGTCACATGATTAGTAAGTTGGAAAATAGAAATCAGAATGGAGAAATTTCTGATGTTGAAGCTAGTATTCTCTTTTAGGATATCCAAACACCTCACAGAGAATTGATACTTAAAATAAGTGCCTGAATAAGGTTTATTTAATCTCAAAATAATGACAAAGATAAATGAATTGTGTCAGAAATTGAAGTTACCTAAATTTGTTATCCAACGAAATATGAGTACACTCATTATTATGCAGATATTAAGGGTATATTGAAATTTAGCTAATGAAATTATAATCATGGTTAGGTAAAGAATGACTTCTCCAAGATTCTACATTTACTAGGGATCTGTACTGGGGATGGACAATGATTGTTATTATTCACAAAAGAGACATAATGTGAAGCTTTGATAGTCCATAGAGATACAGATATGTAAAAATAGAGTGGACAGTCCAGAGGACATGAACCTCAGTGAGAATGACAACTAGGCTTTTCGGGGCTTCATGTACATGGCGCTTTCTGTCCTGGACAATATCAAGGAGGGGGTCTCCTTCTGGCCCGAGCTGTGCTTCCCCAGGGTTTCAACACCCTAGCAGCTCCCTCGAAGTTCTCACTGTTTGAGGGGTTGAGGCCCAGGCTTGGCCCACCAGAGCCTATGGAGCCCCCGCTACCTCCTCTCCTACCACAGTCACCGCCACCTCCTTCTAGCACTGTCCTCCTCCCCGTCCGACCTGAAGGACGGGGAGGGATGAGGACAGCTGAGCAGGTTGTGAGGGTTGTGGGACCCTGGGGTCATCTTGGAATACAGGAGTGAGTGTGTCTATGTTGGGAGAGGCTGTGCCCCTGAATCGTGAGCATGAAGAGCTGGCTGCAGGCTGTGCCTGCTGGTGGAGGGGCCTCCTGCAGCTGAACTATATGCCCTTGCAGAATTGAAGTATCAAATCATGGGGGGGAAAGAAAAAGATTTGAAAAAGAAGGTAACCAATGGAATTGTACTTACACATTAAGCCACCGGATGTCGCTGTCTTCCACAAAATGGGTTTTTAGAACAAAGGCATAATCCTGTGATTCTCAATCAAGGACCAGGAAGGAGCGTCATTCTGAGATCTCAGCCATTTCGATATAATTGAACGTAAGAAACCCAACAGGAAAATTCAGAGCATGTTAGTCTTCTAGACCGCTGATTCATGGATTTGTAAAACCGGGAAAGTATGTATGATGTTGGTTTACAGACCCAGCGACCTGAGAACCGGCCATCTGCTGCTTGCACTTCTGCTCCTCGCATCCTGGGAGATCGGGATTTGCCAGGTCCACTACTCGGTCCCCGAAGAGGCCAAACACGGTACTTTTGTGGGTCGCATCGCGCAGGACCTGGGGCTGGAGCTGGCGGAGCTGGTGCCGCGCCTGTTCCGGGTGGCGTCCAAAGACCACGGGGACCTCCTGGAGGTAAATCTGCAGAATGGCATTTTGTTTGTGAATTCTCGGATCGACCGCGAGGAGCTGTGCGGGCGGAGCGCGGAGTGCAGCATCCACCTGGAGGTGGTGGTGGAGCGGCCGCTGCAGGTTTTCCACGTGGAGGTGGAGGTGAAGGACATTAACGACCACTCCCCGGTATTCTCCGTCTCAGAACAAAAGCTGGCAATACCGGAATCTCGACTGCTTGACTCTCGATTTCCACTAGAAGGCGCCTCTGATGCGGATGTGGGAGAAAACGCAAAGCTTACTTACAGACTCAGCCCAAATGAGTTTTTCATTCTTGATATTATAAACAAGAAAGGCAGAGGCAAGTACCCAGTGCTTGTGCTCCGGAAACTGCTGGATCGCGAAGAAAATCCTCAGCTTTTGTTGTTCTTAACGGCAACGGATGGAGGCAAACCCGAACTTACTGGGTCTGTCTCTCTGCTGATCCTGGTGTTGGATGCCAACGACAATGCCCCGATATTTGACCGATCCATATATGAAGTTACGATGTATGAAAATGCACCAAACCAAACGTTAGTAATACGGCTAAATGCTTCTGATGCAGATGAAGAAATAAACAAGGAATTGATATATTCATTTAGCTCCTTGGTTTCACCCAGCATAAGAAGGAAATTTCTAATGAATGAAAGGACGGGAGAAATAAGAGTAAATGATGCCATTGACTTCGAAGATAGTAACGCCTATGAAATACATGTAGATGTTACAGATAAAGGAAACCCACCAATGGCTGGTCACTGCACTGTCCTAGTGGAAATCCTGGATGAAAATGACAATTCACCCGAGGTGGTTGTCACTCCGCTGTCTCTCCCGGTGCCAGAGGATGCTCAGTTGGGCACTGTCATCGCCTTGGTCAGCGTGTCTGACCGTGACTCTGGCGCCAATGGGCAGGTGACCTGCACCCTAACACCCCATGTTCCCTTCAAGCTGGTGTCTACCTTCAAGAATTACTATTCACTGGTCCTGGACAGCGCCCTGGACCGCGAGAAGGTGTCACACTACGAGTTAGTGGTGACAGCGCGGGACGGGGGCTCGCCTTCGCTGTCGGCCACAGCCAGCGTGTCCGTGGAGGTGGCCGACGTGAACGACAACGCGCCGCTGTTCGCGCAGCCCGAGCACACGGTGTTCGTGAAGGAGAACAACCCGCCCGGCGGCCACATCTTCACGGTGTCGGCGCGGGACGCGGACGCGCAGGAGAACGCGCGGGTGTCCTACTCGCTGGTGGAGCGGCGGGTGGGCGAGCGCGCGCTGTCGAGCTACGTGTCGGTGCACGCGGAGAGCGGCCAGGTGTCCGCGCTGCAGCCGCTGGACCGCGAGGAGCTGGAGCTGCTGCAGTTCCAGGTGAGCGCGCGCGACGCGGGCGAGCCTCCTCTGGGCAGCACCGTGACGCTGCAGGTGTTCGTGCTGGACGAGAACGACCACGCGCCCGCGCTGCTGCCTCCGGCCCAGCGCCTGCTGGTGCTGGTGAAGGACCATGGCGAGCCGGCGCTGGTGGCCACTGCCACGGTGCTGCTGTCTCTGGTGGACAGCGGCCAGGCGCCGAAGGCCTCTTTGCGGGAGTCCTCTGGCTCCGCGAGCGCGGAGGCGGCGCTGGTGGACGTGAACGTGTACCTGATCATCGCCATCTGCGCGGTGTCCAGCCTGCTGGTGCTCACCCTGTTGCTCTACACAGCGCTGCGGTGCTCCGCGCAGCCCACGGAGGGCGCGTGCGGGCCGGGGAAGCCGGTGCTGGTGTGCTCCAGCGCCGTGGGGAGCTGGTCGTACTCCCAGCAGAGGCGGCAGAGGGTGTGCTCTGGGGAGGGGCCGCCCAAGACGGACCTCATGGCCTTCAGCCCCAGCCTACCTCCGTGTCCAGTACCGGAGGTGGAAACGGAAGAACAGTCTATTGGAGGGGACCACTCTAGGAAGGTGGGTAGTACTTTTTAATTTTCATATTTTTGTGTGAATGATATTTTATTTCGCCACCTTTTCCTTGTCAAATACACGTCTTGGAATATCTTCATCCTTGGTCTGTATAGCATATTTCTATAATGCCTTCAATATATCTAGAAATACCTATTATAGCATAGTTTATTTTAAAAGTTGATTTTATATTTTGTCTATTGTACCCTCTGCATCAACTTTTGCTAGTTACTTCAATTTAAAAAATATGTCATTTATCCTGAACTTATTTATATTTTTACTACAAATATTTAATGTTTTTATAGGCTTTAAAATAAGCCTTTAACTTTTTAATGTTATAAATGTTTGTAGGATTATCACTTTAATTCACAAGTTTACTTATTTTTCAAATCTAAATTTTAAAATGACCATGTTATAGTAACAAAAAGACTGAGCGGATCAATTTTCTTCCTTTTAAAAGTGTGCTCTCTGTTCCCTAAGTAAAGAATATGTGTAGTGTAACATAACTTATAATGCATAATAGATCTTTAATATTCAATGTTTATACTTTATTCTTAATAGTACCACATGAAAACAGGATGTTCATTCATAAAAATGTTCTAATCTATGGAATTAAGTTGTGTTTTAAGCTTTTATATTTTTTTTAAATTTTTTATTTTGGAGTGGTGGTACTTGTGTCAGTGTACATTACTCACTTACTTTAGCAGCAGAAAGTAATTCCTATTTATTTAGATAATTTTACCCAGTATCCTATTGTTTAGTAGAATGAGGCATTGCTTATTATTCAAGCATTAGCTCTTCAACTTAGAGGAAGGAGTTATGATTATGTTTACTAATGAAGAGCATTTGAAAATCAATTTTATTTTAGAAGACTGAAAATGATTCATTTCATCCAAATTAATATTAGAAGTTTCAAAAGAAAATGGAATTATCTTTGTAGAATTTTTTTTTTACTGCTTTGATATCACATAGTGCAATTTAGTTTGATAATTCTCTAGTCATCTTAAATAGGGTTGTGTTGGGATGATATAGACTCAGGAATGCAAAACAATTAAATTGCATTGCCTGGCTGGTGTGGCGCAGTGGTTGAGCATTGACCTATGAACCAGAAGGTTTAATTCTGGTCAGGGCACATACCCTGATTGCA